GTGGCTTCCAGTGCTGTGCTTGTTGCGTCACCAGGGAGGGCCAGGAAATAAACATATGTGAAGGAAAAAGAAAAACAAGAAGCGCAGTTTGGGGAAAAGGGCCCCTGTCCCATTCCCTGATTGTCTTCTCTCTGCAAAGTAAAAGAATAAAATTCTGAGCAATAATCACCACATCCCGTTCTAGGAAAATACATCGTTCTGCCGCAGCCAGGCTTGATCCTCTTCCGAGGACCCTTGAGCGGGGCCTTTCCTGAGCAGTATGGAATCTTCCTCTGCAGCCCCTGGTCACTGGGGAGATGAGGGTCCTGGTTCAGTTAGGCACCTGCTGTGGAATTTACAGCGACTGGAGGCGCCTGGGAGAGAAACTTCTCCTTGTGGTGGACTGAATGTTTGTGGACTCCATGCCCCATGTATTATGCTGAACCCTAATCCCCAGGGTGCCTAACTACCCCCGGGGAGGTAATTCAGGGTAAGTGAGGTCATAAGGGTGGAATCTTGATGCGAAGGACTTATGTCCTTCCGAGAACAGGGAGACCCCCGATCTCCCTTCTTCCCTGCCGCTCTGCTCCTACCTCACCCCTTCTTCCTTCCTCACCCATCTCCCTTTTTCTTCTCTCCTCTCCACTCTGCGGTGAGACCATGTGAGGACCACTGGCCATGTGCAACTCAGGGGCGAAAATGGAACCCTGCTAGAAAACTGACCTTGGACTTCCAGCCTCCAGAACAGTGAGACACCAAATGCCTGTTCTTTACGCCCTTCACGCCGGGTATCATTTAATAAAATTAAAACTTGCTTTCTGCACTGTGCTCAGCTAAATGCTGGGAGACAAAATAGATAAGAAAGGGGGACCTATCGGGTTGCCATGGGAACCTGGCCACTGGGCCCCAACCATCCATGGGGGCTATCAAGGATTTTAGGAAATGCAAAACAGCAACCAAAACCCAGCAGGACACCTCTGTGTGGAGGGCACACCCCAAAGCACACCCCAAGAGAAGTCCTAACAGATAGCAGCCGGTTGAGACCAGCTTCTCAGTCAGGACTCCAGGAAGTCAGGCTATGAAGAAGACACCAACTTCCCCCTGAGGACAGACTTCTCCAGCCTATTCCAACAAGCCCCCCATCCCTGCTCTGCCTCTGGCCTACACCTGACTCTTCCCCACTCCAGGCTTCGGTCCTTGGCTCCAGCAGCCCAAGCAGGCAAATAGGTGCCCCCACACCCAGGCTCATCTCAGAAAGGCCTCTTGGCATGTGGCATCAAAGGACCGTTGGCTCCGGCACATTCACTCCCCACCCCGCTGGGCACATTCAAGCTCTGAGAACTGTCCCCAAGCAGCTGACAGCGCCAGGGGGAGCTGAGCAAGTGGTATTTCGAAGCGGGGTCCTTGGAGGACGAGGTCACCGGATGGAGGATGGACTTTCATGATGGGATCAGGGTTCCTTCCTTGCCTGTCCCTTGCTTTCTTGCTCTTGCTCTCTCTCTCTCCTCCCTCCTCCATCCAAACTCTCAGGTCACTTGAGGACAAACTGTCTACAAGCCAGGAAGTGGGCCCGCAGCACCCCATCCTTCTAGCATCTTGATCTTGGGCTTCCAGCCTCTGGAACTGAAATACTTCTGTTGCTTAATCTGCCCGGTTAGTGTGTGTTGCTGGGGAAGTCTGGGCAGCCTGAGACAGACTGCAGTGGGTGACAGCTATCGGGATGGTTATAAGGCTCCCATGGGCTGGATTTCTGGCAGGACTTCTGAAACGTGTGACCGACATAAGTACTACTGAAAATGATTGTTAGTCCATCTTTTCTTGTGTGTGTGTCCACTGAAATGCACATGCCCCTGTGACAGAAAGAGTTTTTGGTACAAAAATAAAAAAAGACTCCATTCTATGGTCTTCGGTCTACAGACATTTCTGGAGAACTCACATATGTTGAGCTTTGTTTTGGGTACAGGGAAAGAAATGTTTATCCTTATGCAAAGCTGAAGGGCCCCCATGTGGCAGACAGGTGTATAAACAAGTACAACAAGCACAAGAGCCAGGTCATTTCACACTGATTGCCACCAGGAGGGAAAAAACATGGAATGGTGTGAGACAGTGACAGGGTACTGTATTAGATGAGATGATCATGGAGGGCTCCCCTGAGGAGGTGACAGTCAAGATGAGATCTCATTGCTAAGAAGGAGTCAGACAGGACTGGAGTCGGAGTTTGGGAGGAACATCTCCAGCAGGGAGAAAATGCAAGTGCAAGGACCCTCAGGTGGGTATGAGTTTGCATGCTGGAGAAACAGGGGATTTGTATGGAGGCTGGGGTGTACCGGGAAACAGCAGGAAAGACTGGCTTCTTTGGGGTCTTGTGGGGCGTGGTGAATTTTCTACACTTTATCCCAAGTCAGTGGTAATTCATCAGAAGGTTTAGTATAAGAATAATAGTATCTGACTTATGTGGTGATTGATTTACATTTTATAATATCAGAGAATTTGGGAATAGGGCTGAATCTTAGAATTTAGCTCATAGCAAAAATTCAGACTTCTGAACTTCGAAGTGTAGATTCCTAGGGAAGAGACCTTAGTAGGAAACAGCCTTGTGACTTGAGGGGTGTCTGGCAAAAATCTCCTTCTCAATCTGGGTATTGATTATTAAAGCATTTACCTTTGAATAACTCACTAAGTCAGTGTAGTTTCTGTATCTTTGTTTTATTTTCTTTTTAAAAAAATATTTATGCATGCAAGAGCTGGGGTGTACGCCAGAAATACAAGGAGTGTGAGGATTCACCAGAGACAGAGTGGGGAGCAGAACAAGCAGATTCACTGCAGCACCCTGCAGTGATGGGGAGCAGCGGGCTGGTCAGGAGAGGTCTGCCGCACCATGTGGATCAGCTCCCTGGCCGGGGCTAGAACCCATGTTGCCATGGCTTCTGATAGCTTCAGAGAGCTGAGACTTAACTCCATGCACCACCAGGGAGGCCCATCTTTGCTTTATTTTCCACAAAAATATTTTTTACAAAAAATAGCTGTACTTCTAGGGTACAAGGGTCATGGCCTGGCTCAGGGTAACCCATCTGTATTAATGAAATGCCCCACATGTCTGGCTTCTTCTGGGAAGCTTTGAATGAATGGAGGAGAAAGGTAGGTACACACCTTCTTCCCAGGAGGGTGAGCAGTTTGGGGGTAAAGATTCAACTAGAAGGGAAAAATAAAAGGAAGTCTGTGTGTGAGTAACCCTCAGCCAGTGACACACAGGAGATGGCCCCATGCCCTTTGGGTGGGAAAACTCTAAAAGATGACCCATACAGTGTCTCAGAAGCCATCACTTACTTGGTGTAAGATATTAATACTAAGTCAAGAAGGTAGGATCACATTAAATTGGACAGAATTAGAATCTACAGCCCGATGACAGACAA